CATCTCTTATATGTATTTTGATCAATTTTTGTAATAAATAAATAAATAAAAATAATTTATTAAATTAATCATTTTCCAAGTTGAAAAGATATTGATGCAATTGTAAAATAGGTAGAGATATTAAAGAAAATGAAAGTCTAAATTTTTAGAGTGGGTCTACGGAGGAAAGATTGGTTTTGGGCAAGAGAAAAGAAAGTGAATGGAGTTGACTAATGGATTGGTATGGTATTTTGTAAAAAAAAAAAGATCAAAGTTGTAAAAAGAACAAAAAAAAAAAAACATAATTGCGGGATAATGGTCCCAAAGACCTAATAAGAATAAAAATTTTGGGGAGAAGGGTAAAGGTCATTTTGCCAAATTGCAAAGAGGAAATACAAGAGAGAGAAAGTCTAGCAGATGGCTCCAAAGGGAACTCAGGATCAGTTTGAGATGATAAAAGCATGATATTAGCAACTTATTCCCTGCCGTTACTTCAATGCACTCTGGTAGACGCAAAAGCATTAAAGAATTACTCAGTAGGTCCACTCGGACTCAGCCCCTGGCCGAGCCAAGTTACCTGAGTAGAGCAAAAATTAAAACATATGTAAAAGTCGTAAGATATATTTATAAGAATTATACATGTAATTTGGATCGAGGTTTTATCATCAAATGCCATATTTTGGTCATTTCCTTTTTTACTTTCTTATAAAATGTCTCCAATTATAAATTAATTTTGTCTAAATCTATTTTTTTAATTTTTTCGGTTTATTTGGATTCCCTTGCGTTAATTTTTAGGTTTTCTTTCACTTTTAGTGTTTTTATTTTATTATTTAATATTTTTTGTTTTACATTTTTTAGGGCTTTTTTGTGGCCTCGTACATCTCTCGGACTCTATCGAGTTACTCATCTCAAGTCAGGCCAAGTCCAAGGCACGAGCTAAGTAATAAAACATTCGGCAGAAGCATGGGCCCTTTGAGTAGCAAAATTGCAAAGTGTAAAGTTTAAACATACATGAAGGAAGTACAATATCAAATTCTTTTATCATTATCATCGCCGTCAAAGCCTTTTCTTAACTAATTGAGATTGGCTATCGAATTCCTCTATCCAAGTAACTAATTTTCTCACATAACATGTATAACATAATATAATATGAGACTAGGGATCCGCTCCTTATGGATTTTGGGTGATGTGAATTTTTGCTCATGTCATGATTTTTGGTTTTGAAATTTCATGAAACCAAAATTAGGAATTGGATTTGGGCTTGGGTGTTGAACTAAGACACAGGACAGGGAATTCGGCACCATATTCGCATCCAAACACGACCATAGGCACATACGCAGTACTGTTTATTATGTCAGTCAATTTATGGTGGTTGGGTTACTGGCAAAGAGTTTCAATAAGTTTTCCATAGGCACATTTGATATGAGTTTTCATTTAAAGCACATGAAAACTTACTCAGGTGCATTTCTGCTTTGGATCCACGGCTTTGCAGCTCTTAAAATAGTAGAGATACAATGATTGGGGAAGAATTAAGATGAACAGTCCAAAAATAAAGTTTAAATTTGTCGATTTTTAATGATTAAAATCCATTTTCCTTTCCAAATTTATGATCATGGTGATCGAGATTATTGATCTGAGAAGTTTTAGGTCCAAAATTCATCTCCATGGATGACTTTTGAAGGAGGCCGCATTTGAATAGATACATCCACAAATCTCCGAAAATTAGCACCACCGAGATCACTGAAAGAAGAAAATCGAGAAAGGAGACCGCATTCATAGTCCAAAATTTTGGGGCTGAGATGCAAAAGATGCACCATGTATATTACAGCTAGAAGACTTGATCAAATGAAGATGAATGAAAGATTTCTAGGCTATAATGCAAGCGTTGATCGAGAATAGGACGTGTTCAGCTTTTGGCAAGGAGTGATCTCTTGGTGCAGCAAAAGGAACCAATGATATTTTTATGGGATTCTTTACAAAGAGACCAAAACTGGCTCGGCCAATTGTCAGTTCCAGTTTATTTGGTTGGTTCCAAGTTGGACCGGCGTCAGACACCCCTCTCTCTCCCACCGGTTCCGAGTTGGACCGACATCAAACACCTCTCTCTCTCTCTCTCTCTCAAATAGTGTACTTAGAGGGGGGCAACCTTTCTATGTTTCTCCTGAAGCATAAAACTTATATACTTCCCCTTATCCAACTGTCCATATTGAATGGAGGGCTAAGATTCTCAAACCACAATGTCATGTGTTTACACTATTTTATTTTTAATTTTTTTTCTATAACTATTTTGACACCAAATTTTGGACGTCCAATCCCCTATTAAACTCGCACTAGCAAAAAAAAATAAAAAAAAAATTCAATAAATTAAAATGACCAAAATATCCTTGAAAGTTTCAAGGGGTATTTTGGTCATCAAATTTTATCAAAAATTTATTTTTAATATTTTTTATAGGTGTGTCCCAATAAGAAGATGACACGTACCAAATTTTATATTCATACAATTTGTAAAAAAAACTAACAATAAAATACTTGGAGACGTTGAATCTAAGATCAAATGGTGAGTGGCTCTTTTGATCAAAATTGGACGGCTGGATAGTGGGGTAAGCATAGATCTTCTATGCTATAGGCGAAGTATATAAACCTTTCCCCTTGAGCAAGAGGTAGCCAGGGTAAATTTCACCTCCACATGGTCCTTGTGAGTCTTATATAGTGAAAATGTGATGCCCTTCTTTCCACGTCCTATGCCCGCCATCCTCGCACTTAATATGCACCCTAGACCCTCCTAGTATGACTAAAGGGAAAAGTTCATATAGAGCCAAGGCTCTAAACAATCAAATTGGAGCCTACAACAAAAATTTCACTAGAAGATGTTGTTTTGATTATCAAATAACCTTAAATTGATCATCTCAATATCAAGATACATGGATATGAGAAAAAAGTGGATTTCAAGTTTTGAAAATAGTGTATTTTGTAACGTATTTTTGGATTGTCAATTTTCAAAAAATTTAAGTTTTCAAAGATATGCCGATCTACACTATTTTTGAAGCTTTAAACTTTATAAATAAAGATAAAAATATATTTTGAGGCTATCACAAAGATTTTCAGTATTGAAACCACATTTCTCGACACTACTTGAAGGCAGGCTCTAATTTGATTGTTTAGAACCTAGGCTCTATACAAACTGCACCCCATGATTAAAAGGGCCGTAACCCTCTAGTATGACTAATAGACAAAATAGCTAAGCAAATGTTTTCCATGGCTTATTATACCACGTGAGCATGGTAGATAAAATTCGATATGGAGTTTGCATATAGCCCGTGTTGTTATTGTCAGACACGTGGGGCAATTGCGGAAAAAAAAAAAAAAAAAAAAAACAAAATACGAAAACTGAAGGGGCCGCCAATAAAGATGCTTTATGTGTGATATTCGAGAAAATATAACCATAAACGCATTGAAATAGTATCCTTACATAATTGTTCCTAATATAGATCATGATGCTGAGGAGCATTATAATTGATTAGCTTAATTTTCAATAAATGATATTTCAATTCTAAAAAATTCGTTGTAGTAATCTCTTTTCTCTTTCTCCCGTACGTGTTCATAGGCAATATAGCCTTCCAATCCCATTTTTTAATGAAAATGGAAATCAATTATTGATATAATTAGAGAACGTGCAAACAAAACGAATGCGCCTTAGCACAATAAAGTTCGTGCTAGACTAGCCGTTGCTTGTTGGAAAAAAAAAACCGATAGAATAAAATGACTATATGTTTGTCACTCAAATAGAAAACATCCCTTACTACCAACAGTAAAAGAAAATTAAGACACACTACACTGCACTCCCAAAACCTCAATGGGAGAGAGAACAAGAGAGAGAGAGAGAGAAGAGGGAGAGGCAACGGGGATAACCCTTCAAAGAAGCCTCAGAACACTGTATAGAGAGATAGGAAACTACCCTTCAAAGAATCCTCAGAACACTGTATAGAGAGATAGGAAATAACCCTTCAAAGAATCCTCAGAAAACTGTATAGAGATATAGGAAACAACCCTTCAAAGCCCAGAACCCTGCAGAGAAAAAGACAGAGAGAGAGAGAGAGGAGAACACCACTTACAAACACATCAGATGGACATATTCAGCCTCCTAAGATGCTTCCAAGAGCGTCGAGTACCCCATCCCAAAATTCCCCCCCACCACCATCAGCTCCAGTCAACGACGAACCTTCTGCTGTATTATTCCCATTTGTCACCGAATGCAGTACCGACGTTCCAACCGCATGCCCCACCCCTACAGCAACACCCCCCGCTATCGCATTTCTCATCGAACGATTACCTCCCCTGGTGTTCTGTGCTGCTCCTTCTGGAGGGGGATCAATGCAATGGACATGGGCGTCATAGCGGAACGATTACCTCCCCTGGTGTTCTGTGCTGCTCCTTCTGGAGGGGGATCAATGCAATGGACATGGGCGTCATAGCGGCACGGCTTGCAGCTGTACAGCCAGTAGTTCCCCCCCCGGTGGCCACAGACCTGGCATTGGAAGGCCCCCTGAGGTGGGGCGTAGGCGATGGTGAGTGGGTGCTCATGCTTATTGAATTGCTGGAACTTGGGCAACGAGGAGCAGTGCAGGTGCAGGTGAAAGTTGCAGGGCACGCAGTGGTATGATGGGGAAGACGAAAGTGAGTTGGTTGTTCTGCAGCAGGCGTTGCACTTGAAATTTCCCCTCTCCATGGACAGGACCAGTAGGTGTTGCGGGTGGGCTGCGTGATAGATGGTCTGCGGCAAACCTTGGCTTGCGTTCTCCATTTTTGCTGGGACGATATGAAATATGAACAGCTAAGTGTGCTCGTGCTCTACTTCTCTTTGTTTGTGTGTTTCAAGACCTACAGATGTATACTGGTTTTTAAGTATTAGAAGGCATGGGATCTCCCTCCTAGAACTTTCCGACCATTTAGAGGAGTAAAGACGGGATCCGCGAGAGGACTTCCAGACTTTTCAAACCATTAAGAAAAGACCGGGTCAGCGAGTGGAAAGTTGAGCGTTTTTAACTTCGTACAAGTATAGGAAAGCACGACTCCTGGTCCCTGCGCGGAAGCACCACCCCTTGGAACCTTGTACGCAAATCGTTGATTTTTGATAAATGAAGTACCAGAAATAAAAAATAAGGAACACATACACAAAAACACAAATATAAAAAATATTTATATGGTTACCCCTAGAAGGTTCGTATTTTGCAAAATAAATTTTGTCATCATTCTTGTTGAAAAATACCATTTGCATTCAAATTTCTTCACCTCAAACCTTGCAATTGAAACCTTATTGCCATATTGAAAACTCCAAATCAGGCTATGATACCACTTTTTATGTGCGGAAGCTCTAAATCCGATGGGTTGATTTTTGACAAATAAAGTACGAAAAATAAAACATGAAACACATACACAAAAAAACATAAAGATTTACGTGGTTTACCCTAGAAGGGCTACATCTATGAGCACGAAAAACTAAAATCTACTGTACATCAAAGATTTTGGAACAAACCTTGATAAAAACACCGTCAGCCAAATCTTTTTAAACCACCCTTCCTTCATAGGCTTGGTGGAGTCCAGGCAACTCGATGCGAGTTCGAGCAATTCGGCGTAAGTTGGGCAGGTCTTGGCCAGGTCAAAAAGTATTAATAAATAATAAAATTACAAAAAATCTCAAAAATATGTTTAAATTAAAATTAAATAAAATACATCAAAATTAGGTTAAAAAAGTAGTGAAAAATAAAAATTGAAAAATTATTTTTGTGACTTAGGGTATTTTAAAAATAGTTAAAAAAAAAAGTAAAAATGTAAAAATAAGTATTCATGGCCAAATCACTTCTCAATCTTTGCCAAAATGAAAAACATTCTAAAAAGTATATTACAAATAAATTTCTTAGTTTTTTTATTTTTCATAATTTTCTTCTTCTTCTTCTATTTTTTTAAGATCCCAAGCTTGACCATTAAACGCGCGATAATTGGGCAAGTCTGCGTTTGCTTGCCCATTTTGTCGAACACTGCTTTGTACCTTGTGAGTGAAAGGGCCAAAAATACTTCTCAAGTTCTATTCCCTATTATGGTTTGGGGGATCTCTTCCCTACGTCCCATATAAAAAAGAAGAGTGATTTACGCATGGACCCTAAAATTTTAGGTAAGATACAAAATATTTTGCACATAGATGGAAATCATAAAGGTCAATCAACCCACTTTTTTATTTTTTTCAAAATTTGAACCTCGGTCAACCTAAATTTTGATTATTATTTTTTTTGTTATTAGACAGTGGCCCAAGCTTTAAGGCACAACCCTACTAAAGAAAAAACTAAAAATAAAAAAATAAAAAAATCCACATTTTGGTTGACCTTGGGACAATTTTAAAAAAATAAAACGCCTTTTTTTTTTTTGATAATTCAGTGGGGAAGATAGGCCCCTACTCGTTTTTTCAAGTAGATTAGGAGTTAATTTTTTCAAGGCATTAATAGGGTGGTGTTATGATGGGATTGTAAACCACAACGTGGTGACTAGGGTGTAGGTCCTACCACCACGACCCCAGGATGGGGTGAAACCACACCTTATGCTATACAAATAAGGTTATGCCTATAAATTTTGTCAAAACATGTAGTTTTGATGTTCGCAACCTCTGGCTTGAAAATCTATATTGAATGCCAATTATGAATTTTCAAATTCTAAAAATGGACGATTCAGATAATTTGTTATAAGATAACGAAAAAATATATTTCAAGTCTTGAAAATAATGTATATTATAACAAATTATAGTGTCTAAAGATTTGTTTGATGTGTACTATTTTTTAAATTTTAAACTTCATGACTAGAGAAAAATAGATTTTTAAGTGATCATAACGTTTATGACACCATAACTACATCTCCAAGCAAATTTTAAATGTCTTTTACTTCAACAATATAAGGGGGGTGTCTTATACAAATCTCAGCCTTTACTTTATTCTTATTAAAACATAGGATTTTAGTTTGTAATGGGACTCGCCGCATCATCGTCATCAGAACAATTTTTTAACTATTTGGGGTCGACTACAATAATCATGGTCCGCTATTCAGCTCTATTAAGAGTCACATCTTCAATGAAGCGTCGATACATCATATTGTTTAGACAAAACACCCTAAACAAATAATATAAATTCATAATTTAAGAAATACTTTGGCAAAGTTTTATTTTCTCCATCTACGTAACTTAACCTGACCTTTATCTGTTTCACGGAAAGTTTAATGAGGGCTCGTATGAAGTCAATTATTTTTCTTCAAATTTTTTTTTTTTTGAGCCGATTAGTTGCAAGGAAAAAGGTTCAAAAAGAAAAAAATTGGGCTACTTTGTGGTGATTATGTGAAAAATAGTTTTTTTTTTAAACTGTTAACTGTTATTATGTGAAAAATAGTCACTTGGTTGTTTTGTTGAAGACTATTACTAATTCAGTCAAGCCGTCTCCACCAACTTAGCATTAGTTGTCGAAGGAGTCAAGGAGATAGTAATCTGAGAGAGCGTTCGCTGAGGGAGTCTAGAAGATAGTGACAGGAGAGAAGATTCATAGTGACGTCATTTGATAGCGTCATGTCCGTACGATCGGTATAAATAAGCATCTTTTCTCATTGGTTACAACTCTCAAGTCGTCTTGGAAAAAGTGCAAAGTGTGGGCCCACCTAAAGACAATTGTGAGATCCAATCTTGACACTTCGAAGATGGAGTCAAATAATAGTGCCATTTTTTTTAGATTGTATTTTTTTTTAAAAAAAAGATGATGGAGTCAAATATTAGTACCATTTTTCTTAGATTGTATTTTTTAAAGGACAAAATTTATATGAAGTTGCAACTTCAAAATGTAGAATTATAGGTGCACCTCACAAATTCATTGGAAAATGTTGTTTTAATGTTGAAAAACCCTCGAATTGATTATATCGACATTCAGATGGATAAATATGAAAAATAATAATAAAAAAATTTTAGTCCTAAAAATAGTGCATCTTGCAACACATTATCTAGACCGTTCATTTTCAAGATTTTCATATATTTATATATCAACTTGATTTTAACTATTTCTTGAGTATAAAATTTTATGATTAGATATAAAAATAGATTTTCAAATAATCCTAACAATGTTTTACACTGAAATTACATATTATGATCAATTTTGGAAGTGCGCCTTAATTGGATCATTTAATGTTACAACCTTATAGAAACCACACCCTTTTTTAAATGAGTAATGATTCTATAGGACTTTCACACACCCAATTGTATAGGACCCAATGGATAGCCGTTGGATTTGTATCCAAATCTCGAGATGAGATTAGAGGCTTACCATCTAACTAGCAACCTCACGAGAGCATTTTCCTCTGCCTTTCTCTCTCTAAAGTACTCTTTGAATAGAAATAAATACAAACATTTACTATCCCGCGCTCTTCTGGGGAACTCTCTGCCCCAAACCTGTTCTCTCCCAATCTCTTCTCTGTGGAACCCTTTGCCCCAAACCCTAGCAGGGTTACTCTCTCTCTCTTTAAAGTACTCTTTTGAAAGACAAACGAAGGCATAAGCTCTACTCTCCTGCTCTCTTCTCTATAAAACTATCTGCCCCAAACACTAATAGAGTTACCACAACTGTAGAGGCCGTTCTCTCTCATGCTAAAGTGGAAGATCTTGGTCTATTTATTTTAGATTGGGGGACTCGATCCAATCCTATTTTCTTGCGTCACAAGGTTTGGATTTTCTCTCTTTAGTAATAGTTGAGTTTTTTCATTTGGCTTTTCTCTCTACATTAATATCTTGTTTTCAAATGAATCAATACAAGAGATGGAGTTCATTTGCTTGATTGAGTTGTATCAAAAGAAAGTGTTCCTAAATCTGGGAGATTTGGGGAATTTGTAGAAACGAAAATTAAGAAAGAATAGGCAAACACAAAAGAAAGAGACAATTAATTACAATGAAAAGATATACGTAGTTTGACAATGTGGCTACGTCCACGACAGATTACAGCTTATTTATTGGCAATGAAGAATATGGTTACAATTCGCTCTATTCCTCACGCCTCTATGTTTTCATCTAATTACAAAGAGATCTGTGTTTTTCTCTTAACTATTAACTTTGGATAAACCCCCAATTGCAACGATATATATCGAGTCCCAAATATATGGTACAAATTACCGAAATACCTTTGTACAGATATATATATCAAGTCCCAGATATGTCGAATCCCATGTACAAATTATCCAAACCTTGGTAGATATATTTACTCAGAATACAATACATCAATCCTCAACAATCTCCACCTTAGCTTGAATTTTGTCAAGCCACCCTAAAGATGTCTTCATCCCCGTACCTCCATAAAGGTACGCTACTGCACCCCCACATGCCATGGGGTGCTTCCCTTACTCTCAACAATGAGAGACATTGAGCAAATCTAACCAAAGCTTGAACTTCTCCGTGGTGACTAGCTTTGTAAGCATATCTGCAGGGTTGTCATTCGTATGCATTTTTTTCAGGTGAATGATTTTTTTTTACATAGGCTCTCATATTAATGTCTTTTGTCCTTGCATGAAACACTTGATTCTTTGCAAGATTTATGGCACTCTGACTACCGCAATGCATCACAGTACCTTCTTGCTCCACCCACAACTCACAGGCCAAACCAGTCGACCAGATCGCCTCATTTGCAACCTCAACTGCTGCCATGTACTCTACCTCTGTCGTAGACAAGGCAATCGTGGGTTGAAGATTGCCTTTCATGAAATAGGTCTACCTGTTAGTGTGAAGACATATCTTGTAGTAGACCTTCGCTTGTATAAATCACCAGCATAGTCAGAATCGATTCTGTAGAGCTTCTC